TGGTAAATATGTTATTATGAATTAGTGACTTTTTTCCTTTGATGTTTCAAGAGAATATACTTATTTTCCAATCGATATCTTATGACTTTGCGAAAAATAACTAATAAACAACGTGCCTGTGAATTGAGTTGTTTTTGTTGTGTTATGCCTTTACATTCTTAATTTAAGATTGGAATGGAACGGGAAGTAGAGAAAAAGAGAGAGAGAGAGGGAAAAAGAGGGGAGAGAGAAAGAGGGAGAGAGAGAGAGAGAGAGAGAGAGAAGAGAGAGAGGAGAGAGAGAGAGAGAGAGAGAGAGAGAGAGAGAGAGAGAGAGAGAGAGAGAGAGAGAGAGAGAGAGAGAGAGAGAGAGAGAGAGAGAGAGAGAGAGAGAGAGAGAGAGAGAAGAGAGAGAGAGAGAGAGAGAGAGAGAGAGAGAGAGAGAGAGAGAGAGAGAGAGAGAGAGAGAGAGAGGAGAGAGAGAGAGAGAGAGAGAGAGAGAGAGAGAGAGAGAGAGAGAGAGAGCAAGAGAAAGAAAAGTAAAGAGAAGAGAGATAAGGAGAGCAAGAGAAAGAAAGAAAGTAAAAGAGAGAGAGAGAGAGAAAGCAAGAGAAAGAAAAGAAGTAAGATAGAGAAAGAGAGATACAAACATAACAACAAAACACTAAATCCATCAATATACCACCAAATAAAGAACGAAAACTAACAAATAATAAAAAAAGAAAGAGAAAAAAGCAGAAAATCAAAGAGTATTACAAAAGAGCAGAATAGCAAAGAAACCAACATAAATAAATAAATAAATAAATAAAATAAGATCGAGGCAGATATGAAGACAAGTGACTAAACCTTTCAAGAAAACAAACAAACAAAGCTTCTTATTAGCCAAAGAAAGGAGAATGGATATGTAAAATAGCATTAGCACTGAATACATCATTTATAATGGTAGCGAAGGTACCACCAAAGCCAAAGTTGAATAAGAAGTGGAGAAACAGTTAATGGAGTACGTTTATAGAGATAGACAGAGAGCGAGGGAGGGAGGGAGGGACAGAGAGAGAGAGAGAGAGAGAGAGCAGAGAGAAAGAGAAGAGAATAGGAGAGAGAGAGAGAGAGAGAGAGAGAGAGAGAGAGAGAGAGAGAGAGAGAGAGAGAGAGAGAGAGAGAGAGAGAGAGAGAGAGAGAGCGAGAGAGAGAGAGAGAGAAGAGAAGAGAAGGGAGAGAGAGAGAGAGAGAGAGAGAGAGAGAGAGAGAGAGAGAGAGAGAGAGAAGAGAGAGAGAGAGAGGAGAGAGAGAGAGAGAGAGAGAGAGAGAGAGAGAGAGAGAGAGAGAGAGAGAAGAGAGAGAGAGAGAGAGAGAGAGAGAGAGAGAGAGAGCAAGAGAGAAGAGAGAAGAGAGAGAGAAGAGAGAGAGAAGAGAGAGAGAGAGAGAGAGAGAGAGAGAGAGAGAGACAGAGAGAGAGAGAGAGAGAGAGAGAGAGGAGAGACCAGAGACAGGAGGAGAGAGAGAGAGAAGCCAGAGAGAGAGAGAGAGAGAGAGATGCTTGGGGATGAGAAGTCAGTTCGTTTGTCTGTACCCTCAGGGTATGTGGTCTATCTTAGTAAATGCTTTGTGTACTCATGTACACGTACAATCAATGTGCACACATGTACGTCTATGTGTTTTTTAACCGTGATACCCAATTTCACAAAAACTGAAGAAACTTTGGGGATTATTTCACCTGAAGTTAGGATAAAGAATAACAACAAAAAACACAAGAACAGCAAATAACAACAAATAACACCACAAGACAGCAATAAAACAAATAACAAACAAAATAACAACAAATAACAAAACAAAAAACAACAAATTACAAACAAAAAAACAACAATAACAACAAATAACACAAATAACAACAAATAACAACAATAACAACAAATAACAACAAATAACAACAACAACAACAAATAACAACAAAATAAAACAAATAAACAACAAAGAACAAACAAATAACCACACAATAACCACAAATAACAACAAATAACAACAATTAAACAACAAAATAACAACAAACAACAACAATAACAACAATAACAAATAACAACATAACACCAAACAACACCAAACAACAACAACAAATAACAACAAAATAACAATAACAACAAATAACAAAATAACAACAAAACAACAACAATTACACAAATAACAAACAAATAACAACAAAAGAACAACAAATAACCACAATAACACAATAACAACAAATCAACAAACAAATAACAACAAACAACAACAAATAACAACAAATAACAATAACAACAAATAACCACCAAACAACAACAAACAACTCTCAAACAAATCATAAAGACAAAAATAACAAACAACATACAACACATATAAACAACAATTTACAACAAATAACCCTCAAACAAAATAACAACAACAAAATAATACCAACACCATAAAATACCAACAAAAATACAACAAATTAACGCCAGTTAAACAGACAGCACTGTCCATCCCTTACTGCCCTCGGCCCAAGGGGAAAATACCTCTTTGAAGTGAGGAAGATAACATCGTTGTGTTTCTCCTCATTTCTGGAAGGGGACCGACCGCTGTTCTTCCCAAGGTTCTTCCCTGGCTTGGCTTGGTGAGTGAATCTTGTGTTTTCACTTTTACTTGTCATATATATATATATAATATATATATATATATATGTGAAGGTATATCCTATATATATTATATAATATATATATATACTATATATACACTTATATATACATATATACACAATGTATATGTTACACACACAATCACTTATATATATATGTGTGTTAGTGTTTGTGTGTGTGTGTGTGTGTGTGTTTGACATTTCACCATAACGTAAAACACGTAAAAACGATAATCGCTTAAGACACGAATGGCTACATCAAGTATGGAACAATTACCGAACGATGAACAATGCTGAACAATGAGGGAGTGGGCGACCCGAGGGCAGCGGACGAATGGTACATCAAGTATGGAGAGAGAGGGAGAGAGGGAGGGAGGGAGAGAGAGAGAGAGAGAGAGAGAGAGAGAGAGAGAGAGAGAGAGAGAGAAGAGAGAGAGAGAGAGAGAGAGAGAGAGAGAGAGAGAGAGAGAGAGAGAGAGAGAGGAGAAAGGGGGGGGGGGCGGGCGGGCAAAGACATACAGACGAATGAAAAAAGAACGTAGAGATGATAGAGAGAGAGACATAAAACAAGCTAAAATGAATAATAGATACTGAGACACACACATACACGAAGAAAAGAAGAAAAAAACAGCGATGTAAACAGACAGGAAAAAAAATGTGAAATAAAATGCAAAAAAAAAGGAAATGAGGTAGGATTACATTACCGGAAGTGTAACAGCAAATCGTTGCCCAGGACACACGCTTGCTTGTACGTGATGGTGTGAGCATGTCCCTGGTCGTGGTACATACGAAGGTCCTCCCAGTATTCTAACACCTGCGGCCAGATATTCAGCTTATTTTGGCTACTTATTGAGTGTAAATGATCGTGTTTATGCAGATGCAGATACATACACGGATACACAGACAAACAACCACACACACATTCACGAAAGCACACACGCATACACAAAGATACACATACACAAACAGAAACACAAGCATAGACAGACACACACATACCATAGACAATATGTACAAACACACAAGCATAGACAGACACATATGTACAAACAAACACAAGCATACACAGACACATACACAAACACACGCACACGAGTATACACAGGCACACACACACACACACACACAAGCATACACAGAGACACATATACAAACACACACGTACTCACGAAAGCACACACACACACAAGTATATCATTCACATACAATATGGACACAAAACAAACACATACACATATAGCATTAAATAAAAAAAAAGAAAAATCAACAACAGAAGAAATAACAATAGCTGCAAATCCGACGAAACACAGGCAACAATAATATCAATAACGTTGAAAACAGGGGTGGAGAGAGAGAGAGAGAGAGAGAGAGAGAGAGAGAGAGAGAGAGAGAGAGAGAGAGAGAGAGAGAGAGAGAGAGAGAGAGAGAGAAGAGAGAGAGAGAGAGAGAGAGAGGAAAAGAAGAGAGGAGAGTGAGCGAGAGAGAGAGAGTGAAAGAGAGAAAGAGAGACCGAGAGAGGAGGAGAGGAGAGAGGGGTGGGAGAGAAGAGGACGAGAGAGAACAGAGAGAAAGAGAAAGAGAGAGAGAGTGAGAGATATATAGATAGATAGATAGATAGAGAGAGAGAGAGAGAGAGAGAGAGGAGAGAGAGAGAGAGAGAGAGAGAGAGAGAGAGAGAGAGTGAGAGATATATAGATAGAGAGAGGGAGAGAGCATGAGCATATCCACACCCGACATGTGCATCTGCCTATAAGGGAAGGTACAAAAACAGTTCGAAAACGCTGTACTAACTAACTGCCTTTGCGAAACGATGACTATATTGAACATAACACACACGCACACACACACACACACAACACAC